TCATATTGTTGAGACTACATGTTTATATAATTACAAACCATATGTTTGTTGATATTTGTAAAGCGAATTTTCATTTTAATTCTTTTATGTTTTGTTTGTTCAGAGATTTTCTAAAAGGTTGAGATCATGGCAAGCATCAGGATGTAATTGAATCAAGAAAATGTTTGCAATAAGAAACCCATAAAAAAAGGAAAAGGTAACTGAACAAATAAAAGCAAAATAAAAATTATATAATCATATGTCACAATCTGTATAGGACTGATTCTTTCCGCGACAACTATAACAAAATATGTTCACAAGTCTAAATCTATTGCTCGGGAAATTTAACATTTCGATAGCTACCGGTGGTGAATTGAAAACTTTGGTGACCAAAGGTTATTTACAAAGTAGCAACAATATTCAGTGAAATTCATAAATAAGAAAGAAGTTTGACCTTGAACACAATCCTAAGTCAACCTCAGTCAACCTTCGATTTGAAAGTCAATGGTATATGGTAACAGAATTGGGTTAATAGAGGCGGAGATACAAAGCCAGTTTAATGGGTGATGAGTCTTGATAGCGATGCAGTTAAAATTGATGGCAACTGAAAAGGTTGGAAACTAAAAGGAGGTGAGAAGAGAGAGATAAATGTGGTTACTTGGGGCCGACAAACTGGTTAATGGTGGTATATTGTCCGACAATAAGTAGTCACGAGGAGGGAATGGGGTGGGGTGTGGTTAGGGTTTTCGGTTGAGGAAGGAACATGGTAAATTAGCTAAAATGATCGATCACATAAGAAAATAAAACCCCAAAAACTGTTGATGGTTTTATAATTTTTCGACTTAAAAGGTGAATTTCCCGTAAAGACATAAATCATTTTTATAATTTGTCTATAAATTATATAGTTATTGTAATAAAAATATAATTAAAATATATTAAAACTAAAAAAATTAAAAGTTGTTTCCGAAATTTTATAAAAACTGAAGAAAAAAAATACATTAAAATGGTATAATTATTAGTTACACGAAAATATTACACATTTTTATGAAGTTGTGCAAATAATTATATATTCGGTTAGAGTACCTAATTTGTTATCGATTTTTTTTTGCCTTATCATTGAGTAACAGAAGGTGAAAAATCATTAATGCGTCCAATAATAAAACCACTACAATAGTAAAGATCTCCAGAAATGAATGATTCGTTAACTTCATCAAAAACCAAATTGGATTTAATAAGAGAACAAATTAATCTTGTTTTAAAGATCTCCAGAAATGAATGATTCGTTAACTTCATCAAAAACCAAATTGGATTTAATAAGAGAACAAATTAATCTTGTTTTAAAACGGTCTCAATTTTCCAAAACAACCCAATAGAAAAATATTAAATACAAACACAAAAATACACTGTAAAACTCCAAACAAAAAGAAACACAAAAATCCACTGGAAAACCGAAAACTCTAAACAAAATGAAAAAAAACATGGACCTTCATGAAAAAACAATTACTACAATATTATCTACACAGTTACCTAATATATATATATATATATATATATATATATATATATATATATAAAAGAAAATAGAAGAGAAAAAATCAAACACTCAAAGTATTTTTGATTGGGACAATTTAACATGAAAGTCTTGCACTCATTTTTATAGGCATAAAGTCTATTCTCTATTTTCATTTGCCATCAATGTGGGACAACCACTTGTTTCATTTTAAGCCAAATCTCAACAAATTAATATAAGATGAAGCTTGATTCAACACTAATTTTACCCCATGGTTAAGATAAATCTCCAAGGAGATACATATTCATAAATGATGCCAAACCATCTTAAAAATAATGGCTAAAGGAGATTATGTTGTATGAATTGGTTAGATAATGCAACTATGGTTGCATTTTTTGTTTTTCACAATTAACCCTTCAAAAGAAACCATTATTCTTATTGTTATAATAATTGTATCTAGATCCATTGCATTATGTCAAATTATCCATCTTTCTTCCTAAAAGGTGTTAGGATCGAGACACTTAACACACGACTCTAAACACACACAGCTCACGAAAAACAAGAACACAAGGATGAACATGAGGGATTTAACGTGGTTCGGTCCTTCTCTGACCTACGTCCACCGGTAACTAGGAATTTACATTTCTTGATGCTAATCTGCACTCTTTCTATGTTACACTAGATACAAGTTTTACAAATACAGAATAATCTCTTATATAGAGATGGAAATCAGAAGTAGTCAAAAAACACAACTGGGTCTTCATTCAACAATTGTGGCTTCACAACTTCACATTGTTCCTGCCATTTTTGAACAGCTTTTCTGTGGATTCACACTCAACATTTCTGTGGATTCACACTCAACATTTCTGTGGATTCATACTCAACAATCTCCCACTTGAAGCCACGGAACAATCTTCACCAGTGCTTAAACTGTGCATCTGTATTTGATCTTAACTCCTTCCTAGTTACCCTGGCCTTCTCTTCAATTAACCTGAAGGCCAGTTGAAGCTTTCGTTAGCTCCAACACATCAGTCATGGCTAAGTCTGCCACTGACCTGTTCTCTGTCTCCACCGGCTCCCACTGAAATGAACTGCCCGATCCTGGAACATCCTGAGAACAAACGACACTCTCCATGTGAAGCAGATAATCTGGAGAGACTTTTACAGATGGAATACTGGTTCTCTTAACCCACTGTGTTCTGGGTATTCTAGCTGAAACAAAGCCCATGCTCCCACTGCTATGAATGCCCTTGACTGGTTTTTCTAAACCGTTCCAAACACGTTCAACCTGAATTTGACCTGTGACTCTGGGTTTGCCATCTGCAAAGCAAACCTTCTTCTGTCCACGAGACTCTATGAACCGGATTTTGTTTTTCTTCTGAACTGGGACGGTTACTCCCTCAGACGGTAAACTGACCATATATAATGAACCCCTCTTATGTCCACAAGCTATCACAAGATTTCTTTTGACAACCTTCCACTGCCCATTCTTGAACTTAACCTCGTGTCCCTGTTCATCCAACTGCCCAACAGAAATCAATTGTTTCTTCAGACTTGGAATTACCCGGACATCCTTCAAAGTCCATGGACCGACTTGAGTCTTCAGATCTAAGTCACCTATGCTCGTCACATCAAGAACCTCATCGTTCGCCAGTCTTACCTTACCAAAATCCCCTTCTTTCAGATTCCGCAGTGCTTCACGGCTGTGGGTAGCGTGAAATGAAGCACCCGAATCCATAACCCAGGAATCCACATTGCTCTCCACACTACAGATCAAAACATCATCATCTGAATGGTCTACTGCAACGTTAACTTCTTTCTTGTCTTTTGGACATTGATTCCTGAAATGTCCAACCTCTTTACAGTTCCAACAAGTCACATCATTTCGAGTCCTCGACTGACTCCTTCTCCTGTTCCCGCTCCCACTACCTCTGTTATTTCTTCTACCTCTGACCGCATTCAATTGTTCACTTGATGATTCCCCAGAATTTCTTCGTCTGACGTCTTCGCCTAGAATTAAATCCCGAATTCCCTCAAAAGTGAGCTCTTTCGATCCTGCGGAACTAGTAACGGCTGTAACTGTTCCGGACCAACTGTCAGGTAATGATGATAACAGTAGTAAAGCTTGAACTTCGTCCTCAAATTTTATTCCCACTGACCCAAGTCTGGATAAAATCGAGTTCAAATTGTTGATGTGTACTGTAACTGAACTTCCTTCCCTCATCCTCGTGTTGACTAGTTCCCGAATCAGGAAGACTTTATTTGCTGCCGACGGCTTCTCGTACATATTAGACAATGTCTCCATGATTCCCTTTGCCGAGGTCTCCTTCAAAATGTTGAAGGCAACATCCTTTGACAAAGTCAGTCTAATAAATGCTTTGGCCTTCTTATCCAAAGTCTCCCAGTTTGCTTGTGTGATCGCCTCCGGTTTTTCACCTAAAACTGCGTCCAAGTCTTTATGCACGAGCAAATCTTCAATTTGTATCTTCCACCAACCAAAATCTTTCCCATCAAACTTCTCAATCTGAAGCTTATTGCTTTCTGCCATTTTCTGAAAGAACAATGACCTATTTTGCAATTTTCTGGAAATTCAGGGGCCAAATTGCAAATTTTCAAATCTGCTACAGTGTCTGCTGACGTCACCGCTGACGTTGTGCTACAGTACATCTACAGTACCGCTACAGTGTCGTCTTCTCCGACAGAACTTCGGTGCTACAGTGTCGTCTTCTCCGGCAAGTTCAGGCGCTACAGTGTCGTCTTCTCCGGCGTAACTGGTTTTTCCGGTCACTATTCCGGCAAACCTTTGACCGGCGATTTGGACGTCTTCCGGTGGTCAAAAAATTCAGAAAAAAATATTTTCGGAATCTTCGGAACGAGACCTTTCCAACGGTATACACCAAAATCGTTTTTGACGAAAAAAAATTTCGACCAAAAAACTGAAAATCACCTTCTGGAGCTAAAACCTTGCTCTGATACCACTTGTTAGGATCGAGACACTTAACACACGACTCTAAACACACACAGCTCACGAAAAACAAGAACACAAGGATGAACATGAGGGATTTAACGTGGTTCGGTCCTTCTCTGACCTACGTCCACCGGTAACTAGGAATTTACATTTCTTGATGCTAATCTGCACTCTTTCTGTGTTACACTAGATACAAGTTTTACAAATACAGAATAATCTCTTATATAGAGATGGAAATCAGAAGTAGTCAAAAAACACAACTGGGTCTTCATTCAACAATTGTGGCTTCACAACTTCACATTGTTCCTGCCATTTTTGAACAGCTTTTCTGTGGATTCACACTCAACATTTCTGTGGATTCATACTCAACAAAAGGTAATCAAAAGAGAACTAAGTATGCAACACTTGCTCATATATCATAAAATGCTACTTGCAATATTGAATTAATGTTTAGAATTTACAAATAAATTCTAATGATAAAAATCATAATATATGTAAGTCTTTAATGATAAAACACATAAAGAAATTATAGAATGAAATGAATGGGTCATAATAATCACAATAAATGAACAATTCGTTTTAGTGAATGTGAGTCTAATACTCAGTTTATTAATTATGTGGCCTTCTTCTCCCTGGATGCTCTGCTGGGAACCTTGCTCAAAACTTTCTCACTTACAACCTCAAAATGCTTCTTCAATTCACCCTCCGCTTTCTCAAGTAAAACATCAGCTTGACCCTTGTTTTTCTCGTATAATATAGGCACCATTTGCAGAAGAACAAAACCTAATCGTTCATCATTAAAAAAGGATAGTGTCTTTTTGTTGAATGAAAACAGTGATACACAAATTTGCTATCAACTGCAAAATAGAAAAGGATTCTTACATATGTAGACCAGCGTCAAGAGGTTACACCAGTTTCCTGCAACTGACACAATCCACAAGCAAGCAATCACCTAATAAACATAAAAAAAAATTGGATCATTATAATATAAATAGTCCAATATCAGAGAATTTATAATGATGGCTAAAACAGAGAGGAAAATATAAAGAAATATACAGCTAGGAATTCCTTCAAGTCTTTTCCAGAAGCGATTTCCCTAAGGACCTCCAAAGCTTTGTTGATTTCAGACCTAAGGACAGAGGCTATCTTAAGAGCAGTATCTTCGTCAATAGCAACTTCTGGGAATTGTGGACACCTGTCATTTTACAACATATATATAGGTCAATACTGATCAAGAGTATGTGAGAGAGCATAAAGTTGAAGTAAATGTTACCTGTAGAAGAGGTTGAATGTATTTGACCACAGAAAGTGGATCCCAAGGACTAGAATTAGAGTGTGGCATAGTAGACTAAGCAAGTGATATTCAATCAATTCGAAAAGTGCCCATATCAAAGTGGCAACACCAAGCACACCAATAGATGTCTTCTTGTCCCTCCATAGAAGTATATCAGCAGCTGTCATGAACAAAAAACTGAAACTATCAACGTCTGCTTGTGATCACATGGTTCAGATGAAATTGAACCTAAAAAGGTAACAAAAGTTCAATTGTATTTCTATAAGCATCCCCAATTTGCTTATATTACTTCTCCCATATGTCCAACATCCAGCTCTGAATTAAACATCTCAGTTAAATTTTTATAACGCCACCAAATGTTGGTAATTGGTGGATTACAGCATTGTTCTAGCTTAACAACACAGAGATTGTGCATATATAATTAATATAAAGCCTTTTAATCGATTATCTAAATCAAGGATCTGCGTGAACAATTTCCCTAATTATTGAATGCCTGGAATGAATATGTATGATTTGAGAAGTGTAAATCGTATATGAGCGATATGGAAATCTAAATAAAGCAATTAATAATAAATGTGATTTGAATGAAACGAGCATACGTACGTTTGCCGCCTCCTAATAGATCGTGAACAGGCTTCTCCTTCCAGGAGAGGCTTTGAACCTTTTTTTTGATCGGTACGGGATAATCCTTCTTGGATGCGAGTTTTCCTTTGCCTTCGCCTTCAGAATCCGACGACGAAGAACCGCTTCCGTGAAACTTCTCGGTGACCTTCTCTTTCACTGAATCAATAAACGATGATTCGTGTTCTTGCCCTCCGGCGGCTTTATCGGCCATATCTGGATCTCGGTTACCGGATCTTCGCAGTTATTCGCCGGCAATCGGGAGAACGTAGGTGTGTTCTGAATAATTTATGAAATGAATATGGTATGCATGAGGAGGATGATTGAATCTGAACCCGAAGCTTAGGTTAGGAGTACCCAAACCTTGAGGTTCGGAAGGGTAAATTGGGAAGGTATTCTCTTGTCTAAAATCGGATGATTTTTTTGTTCGGAGTTCGGACTGCTGGTTCTGCGGTTCATGAACGGTTTGGAGTCTAAAGTTCCAGTTGGGCTTCGGTTATGGCCTATGGGCCTTCTGATCTTTTGATTATAAAAAATAGATTTGTGCTATATATATGAGCCTTAGTTCAATGTGCTAAAATAATATATACATATCTAATATATTTATATTTATTCTAATAAAAAAAGTGTGTTCATGATTGTTTGCTTATGTGATTTGCTAGTAAATAGCTACATACTATATTATTGTATTGAAATTTGATCATACATTGTTATGAGCACAAATTGCAGGGCCGGTTCTTTGATATAGAGGGCCCTATACGAAGAATAGAAAATTGGCCCTTAAATATTAGGAAACAAATTAGTTTAAAAATTACAATGAAAGCGATGGAACTAAGATTCAAACTCAGGTTGTTTGGGTATAAGATAAAGCAACACTTTAAATCCAACTGAACTACAACATATTTTGTTATTTAACTACAACATATGTAGCATAAACTAGTTAATTAAATTTTAAAAGAAGCGTTGAAATGGAATTGAACCCTGGTGGTTTAAAAGTGATTGAAATAAATGTGCACCACCTGCCATTTGAACTACAAGTAATTTGCTTACATTAGTACGTAAAAAGATATATATATATATATATATATATATATATATATATATATATATATATAAAAGAAAATTAGGCCCCTTAAAAAAAATGGACTCTGTGCACATGCCCCTTTTGTCCTTGCTCAAAACCGGGTCTGACAAATTGGAATGATGAACATTCAGCCCATAAATTAGAACGACATGATGTGTAAATCAAAAGTATCAATTAACAACAATGAGTTCTGTGATTTAAGGATTCTATATGGAGATGCACAAACATTTACTAATTTAAAACCTAAAAACAATAATTGAATTATCCTAAAATGATAATTAAATTCCTAAAGGAATGCTACAAAGCCCACCCATGAATTTGTGTTAGTTTTCACTTGCAAGCGAGCATCGCATTCGGCATCCCTTCGATCAAATGATCATGCGGTTGAAGAAATAAGTGCAATTTCGTCTTTCTTTCATCGTGCGTAAATCCTACTCCAAGATTAGTGGTTTCTTTAGTGACTCGTTTTTCCAATATACACAATTTATTAGTTCGGTATCGTTCTCAGTTTTCAACCTCTTTGTGGTTTATTTAGGCGAGATGACCAATTTGATTCATAAGGGTCCTGATATCATGCTGCGATGAGGATGTGCATACCACTTTCTTCCTTTTTTGTTGTCACGGTTGCGGTTGCAACCAGTGGCGAATCTAGAACAAAAAATCGTATGGTTCCCAAATTAAGTGAAGCCAATAAAAAAATCAACAATACTTGTGAGTGTCGGGTCAGGTCGGGTCGTGTCGTATACCTTAAAAAAACTGGACCAACCAGTTCAATCGGTTAAAATCGATCAGGTGTCGCCAGTTAAAAATTTTAAAAAACGGAATGAAATATAACTGAAAAAAAATTGTACGGTTTAACGAACAACTAGTTGATTATTAGTCCATTGATAAAGCGACGAACGGAGAGTGTGAGTCTTTGGCATGTGGACTTCTTTTTATTAGATCAATTTATTTATTTATTGATATGTTGAGAGTGCCGATTAAGAATGGTTAACTTTAAGTTATCAATCCCATAATTTAAAATAACAAATTGTCCCTAATAACTTTTTTTCTCATTTTAAAATGGTTTTTATGATTTTTTTTTTAAAACAAACTCAATGTAGGTCCTCTATTTATTCTAAGGTACGGGGCGATCAATAGAAAATCATAATTAACAAAGAACCAATGAGCCAATCGTGAGCGTCGGAAATCATAATGATCAACGGCTAAGGAAATAGATGTACACTTGTAAATTGGACGCACACACAACGGATTATACCAAAACACTCAACTCCTTACCAAAAAACTCACATCTTTTTTTGTTTAAAATTTTTTTAGGCCACATTTTTTATCGAAAAAAAACCGAATATATCGTTGTTCACGAATTTTCGTCATCTTTCCATAGAGATCCATGTTGATATATAAAAAACAGTTTTTTTTTCTAAAAAAAAACCCACTTCATTTTGTTATTTTTTTCATTATTTAAGTTTAATTTTATCCAAAAAAAACTAATTATACCAAAAATATTAATTTTTTGTACTCTATTAATAAATATCAACACCGATTTAAAAAAAAAAAAAAAAAAAAAAAAAACTCGATCAGTGTAGATTCACACTGTGAATCTAAACTGTAAATATTTCAATTTTTAACATTCACAATGTGAAAAAGCTCGATCAATTCAGATTCACATTGTGAATCTGACTTACTATTATTCACATTGTGAATCTGAGAAGGTTCTCAATGTGAATCTGAATTGAAATATAATTTTTTTTTAACATCAATATGAATCTATGTTTAAAGAGTACCAAAAAATATGAATTTTGATATATTTATTAATTTTTTTCTATAAAAATGGACCTTAACTTTTCAACAAACAAAGAAAATGAAGTGGGTTTTTTGAAAAAAAAAATCATTTTTATATATAAATATGGATCTCTATGGAAAGATGACGTAAAATCACGAAAAATTGTGTGTTCGGTTTTTTTTTTTTTTTTTAAAAAACATGGCCTAAAAAAATTAAACTAAAAAAAGGAAGTGAGTTTTCTTATAATCTGTAGCATTTGTGTCCATTGTAAAAGTCTACAACCCTTCCTTTTGCCGTTGATCATTTTAGATTTCGACGCTTTGGATTGGTTCTTTGGTTCCTTGATTAATAATGGTTCTCTATTTAACTTTTCCACATATATATATATATATATATATATATATATATATATATATATATATATATATATATTCTAAATGAAATTGAAAATTTAGGTAGATCCTAGAACCTACCTTTGCCCTTAGTAGATACGCCCCTGGTTGCAAGTGTAGTTGTGGTTCTTCAACTAGAAACTTTGCAACATCCAACTCACCAGCTAGGTGAGTTGAAAATTGGGCATCCAAAGTGGCTATATACGTGTTGGAGTCTCATGTTTTGATCCTTTTTTAATTTTTTTGAAGTATGGCGGATTCACCCATTACGTCAATGGTTAGCTATTTTTGTTTGTAGTTTTAAAATATTCAATGTCACTGTTTCAATCTGAAAAGTTTGCGTTAGTTACTTTGTCAAATGTAAAACATTGACGTTTGATCTGTCACTAGCACGGATGTTAGACTTGTTGTTGTAAATGCAATTGAACTTATTAACTTCCACATGCAAATCCTTCCATTTGGAGTTCAATTGATCCCTACTACATTCGAACCACGAAGTTGCATATTGAAATGCTCCAAAACTCACTTCCAAAATGAGTCTGCTCGTTGATGACTTTCAATTTCTTCGTCTGCCGAAACACTTATAAACGTCTTGGTCAATGTCATTTCTTCTCTTTCGGTCCATGGCCGTCTATTTAGCCGTTTCATATAATTTCTTGAGGGTTTGGTTTGTGTTTGAGGGTTGGATTGGGGTTATGTTTCATTGCTTGAACTTTTTAACTTACGCAAGAAAATCCTTACATTTTGAGTTCAATTGATCCCTACTACGATTGGAACCATGAAGTTGCGTATTGAAGTGCTTCATAACTCGTTGCCAAAATGAGTCTGCTCTTTGATGATGTTCACTATCTTTGTCTCACTATCTTGGTCAACATCACTTCTTCTCTTTCGGTTCATGGTCGTTGTTGTAGTCGTTTGGTATAATTTCTTAAGGGTTAGGTTTTTGTTTGACGGTTGGTTTCCTTACTTGATTCGTCGTTTGAGATTTGAGGGATGAATTGTGTTTCATCATATGATTTGTCGTTTTCGTGCTCACGTAAATGCGATGTGTCGTTAACGTAATATGACATAGGAGTTTTGGGGATAGAATATGGATTTTAATTTTGTTGGAATGAATTATAATTGGGGGATGCCTTAAGATAGTCCGAATTGGTTATAAGATTGTTGCATCAAAAATTGTTGATGTTGATGTTGATATTATGGGTATTAGGAATAATTTGGGATTTAGATTTCGGGAATTGAGATTGAGTAGTCTTGTGAACCGATTTCGCCTTGTCAATTTTTTCTTTACGTAGAAGCCATTTTTTTGGATTTGTCACGTCTAGAATTCATTTAAAATTGAAGAGAAAAGGGTTGGAATTGAATTAGAAAGAGTTTGATTAAAATACCAAAAACGCATCATTTTTTTTATAAATTTAATGGACCAAATATGATGAAAGTCGAAATAATCACTATCTTACGGTTTCATTCAAAATTAAAATAATAGAAATCAATTTGTGTTTCCTTGTACCTTGTTCTTAAACTTTCCCTTAGAAACCCCTAAAAAAAACAAAAAAAACAAAAAAAAAAAAAAACGTACCCTTTGATAGGCATATTGATTGAAGTCATAGTTGTGGGTTTGAGAATACTATATTAGTTTACGTAAAGTTATTTAGTATTCTATTAATAATTACGGTTGAATTCGATATTATGTAATATTTTATTATTTTGAGATAAATTACAAAGAATTCATTGAACTCGATGATCTTTTATGATTACAACGGTATAATTAATTTCAAATAAGTCAATATTTGTTATATGATGTTCCGTGGAAAATTACATCTATTTTCTACTATAAAAAATGTTATGTTTCATATACTACTAGGACTGTAAACGAACCAAACGAACACGAACAATGTCTTGTTCATGTTCGTTCGTTTAAGTTAGCCAAACAACAAATGAACACGAACGGATAAACGAACGAGATTTTCTTGTTCATGTTCGTTCGTTTAACAAATTACCTTGTTCATGTTCGTTCATTTATGTTCGTGAACATGCTAAACGAACATAAAC